GTCTTGCAAATCCTCGTGTTGGAAAACGGCACTAGCCACCCAAAATGCCATCACAACAACTTCGTTGGCTATGTTGCTCCATGACTCACAGGTGGGGGACAATGTAGCTCACAGGAAACTTTGCCCCCAAATGCCGGATTGCAACCACCTATAATTTCTTGTATTACAAACAAGATTTTAGAGGCAAGCAAAGAGTAAGCATGTGGCCACCCAGGCATGGATCTAGAATCCATCTGCAGTAGTACCTACCTGTCAATGAATACTTCAGCTTCAACCACAACAATACAAGAGCATACAATAGATACAAACTCAAGGTAAACCGCACCAAACTTGATTGCAGGAAATACGACTTCAGCAACAGAGTGGTCAATGTCTGGAATCCTCTACCTGACTCTGTGGTTTCTTCCCCAAACCCCAAAAACTTTAACCTTAGACTGTCTACTATTGACCTCACCTCTTTCCTAAGAGGTCTGTAGGGGGCGTGCATAAGCGCACCAACGTGCCTACCGTCCCTGTCCTATTGTTTCTTTTTTTCTTATATGTATCCATTTCATGTATTCATATCTATGTTTATACTTAAACCTGTTATCTTATAATCGCTTGACAAAATAAATAAATTTTTAAAAAAATGTGCAGACGGTGTTTGCAATCTTCCAGAATCATCCTTAATCATGACTTTTAAAAATATGGCATAAAGCAGCATTGCAGGATCGAATCTGGGTTGGTCACTGGGACCAGTTTACTCTTCCCAGCTTTTGGACTCAATCAATCAGAATAGACCTGGAAGGAACCTTGGAGGTCTTCTAGTCCAACCCCCGCTTCTCAAGCAGGAGAACCTACACCATTTCAGACAAGCGGCTGTCCAATTGCTTCTTCAAAACCTTCCAGGGATGAAGCACCCACAACTTCTGAAGGCAAAGCTGTTCCACTGGTTGATTGTCCTCCCTGTGAGGAAGTTTCTCCTTAATTCCAGGTTGCTTCCCTCCTTGATTAGTTTCCATCCATTGATTCTTGTCTGACCTATTCACGTTGGAGCTCATCCTCGGGAAACGTCTACTAAAACAGGGGTCCCCAACCACCCGGCCGCGGACCGGTACCGGTCCGTGGAACATTTCCTACCAGGCCACCGGTTTGCTGGGCGCCGCCATCTTGTTTGACGAGAAAGTGCTTCCAGGTGAGCTTTTCCGGTTGGAAAGCGGCGTTTGGGTCCTGAAGGAATCCTCGTGCCTTAGTTTCATCGAAAGGGGGGGCTTCGAACGAAACTAAGGCGCGAGGATTCTTTCAGCACCCAAGGCAAGGCGAGCCGAGTGACCATCCTGAAACCCATCGACAAAGGTACAAAGGAGTTGAAGGTGGCGAGGAGAAGTGGGGGATGGCTGGCTGGCCGGTTGCTTGGCTCGCCTTGCCTTGTCATGCGTGCTGATGCCAGTACCGGGCCGCGGATCATTTTGTGATGCCGATACCGGGCCGTGGCACAAAAAAGGTTGGGGGCCACTGTACTAGAATATGCAATTTGGGCTATTCTGTGAGTCGTATTTATGTGGTGCCCTTTCTGTGGGTCAATTGGTGCATTGATGGTTAGCGATTGGCTGCTGTTCCCTTGGGCTGCCAAGCCCTCGGCTCCTAAGTATTTGATAGGCTGGTGGTAAACCAGGACTCGTCTTGATTGACAAGGGGCCCATTTCCCAAGCTTCAATCATTTCCCTGGCTATAATCAACACACCAATCAACCAATAGGAAGGCATCACGTAAGTAAGACTAACAGATTAGCCCAAATCACGTATTCCAGTAGAAATTGTTTCCCGAGGATGGGATCCAGCAGGAGTCCAAAAGATCAGAAGAGTAAACTTCTGGTCCCAGTGATCAACCCAGATTCAATCTTGCAATTCTGGGACACGTATTTTGACTTTATGCAGCCGTGATTTTTGAAATTTAGGAAATGTAAATTCTTTCCTAGTGCTCAGGATGTTGCATCTGATGCTCTCAGTAAAAATTTGTACGCTTACATTTCTGCAATTTTTTTGTTTTGTTGCAAATCTCAAGATTTTGTCATCTCTTCCAATTCTTTTGTCTTCCACATTCAAGGAATTGCTGTAAATTATTTGTACATCGATGTAATTACTCTTTTATTAGAACATAATTATAAAATGTTTGCATTCATAAAATTGAAGTATATATTCATCACCCTGCTGACGATTGTGCCTATCAACTGAACCTTTTCTTCTTCTTCTTTACCAACACAGTAGTAATAGGAACCCAGCAGAGTGTAATGCCCTCAGATTTAAAACTCCATTAAACTTGACTTCTTGGAGACGATTTTAACTTTGACGTTGTAAGGAAAATGGCAGTAAAACGCTTCTGTTAAGCACCTCAATTTCTTGGCGCTTGTACTTGGAAATAATGAGAAAAGTATATTAAAAATAGATCTTAACTTTTTGTCCACACAAAAAGAGACTACAGGTGGGTTGAATTTGGTCCACAGGGACCTAATACTTGTAATGGACTGAAGGACATTCTCTTATTTCTTATTCAACAAAGGACAAAAAAAATGGCAAGTAAAAAGCTGAATTTCCCTATTTTTCTCAGCAGAAGGCAGATCTTGGAGGAAGAATTAAGACAATGCCTTTTTTTAAAAAAACAAGCTAGTTGCTTCTATAGGTGACAATTTTCAGTATCTTGCAGGGCAGGGGGGACTGAATAGGCACAGCAGACCTCCAGGTTTTTTTGTACTTCTGAACTGGGCAGGAGTTTAAACTAGACATTTAGTTGGTTCAAATAAACTTTTTTCCTCTGCTATAATGAAGGGAAAGTTTTAAATAGAGAGATGGGAGACATATATGGCCTTGGGAACTCTGTGAGAGCTTACATTGTCCAACACAAACCACTCTAAGTGGAAAGTAAAGTGACTCCTCCCACTCCCCAATAATAGCAATTATCTTCTTGATTGTACCATTGAAGCAATGGTTTGGATCGAGATTTGGCCATACTTAAAGGGCATATCCAGTGAAACCAGTGAGTCTCAAGATGCAGAGATTTTAATGGGTCCTTTCTAGCTAAATCTGGACCCAATCTATTAAGTCACTTTCTGAAAAGTTAAAGAGGTGGCTAGACAGTTTGGGGTGACAATGCGCTGCAAAGAATTTATTCTAATAAACATAGGGGAGAGAATAAATGGCTTATTTCCAGTATATTAATTCTGTTCTTCATTAAGAACTAGAGCAAAGACAGAAAAAAAACCCACCAAGCTTTCCAACTAGAAATGCTCCATTGTTACCAATGGCAAAGTTTTCATGGATTTCATTTTCACTTCAAATGCCCAGGTGCCTATTTTGAGTAGCCTTTTAAAACCCATAATCCTCAGCTAGTACATCCAATACCACTGAAGGAAATAATGCAAAAGAGGACATTAGGAGCTGCTCTGTGATGCCATAAACCCCATTTGTGTCAGAGCTGACTTTTCCCCGTATTAATTTTGACCTATCTGGTTTTCTACTAAAGATATATCATATCAACACTTAGTAGATACAGATTTTGTTTTGCTTGCAAAGAATCTTAGGTCACGTGTGGCTTGATGTTCATGAAAGGAATGTCTAGTGCAGGGGTGTCCAACCTTGGCAACTTTAAGACTTGTGGACTTCAATTCCCAGTAATTCCTCGACTTGTGGACTTCAATTCCCAGTAATTCCTCAGCCAGCAAAGCTGGCTGAGGAATTACTGGGAGTTGAAGTCCACAAGTCTTAAAGTTGCCAAGGTTGGACACCCCTGGTCTAGTGCAACACCTGGGGAGCCTCAGTGTGGTTTTCAGAGGCAATGGCACCTGTGAGAAGTGTACATCAACTATCACCTGTCATTTCCGTAACCATACACGCAGAGCCATTCTTTGACCCAATTGTGCTAAACCAGAACTCCTGAATG